GGCATAACATACTATAGAAAACATTGTTCCACCTCCTACTTTGGCGAGTAGCGACTGGGATCTTAAAAGCTAGCAAGCTGCCATCTAGATGTAATGATGGGTCTCTCCTTGTCCAGAGCAAAGAAGAATGAAGAAAACCAAAATTTATGGAAATAATTAGTCCTAGTGACTAGTACACCATCCGATCTGCAGCCTATACAACTATGAGACCAGAAGAACTAGATGGTGCCCGGCTACACCTGTCATCCACTTAGAAGGGGATCTATGTAGGAGACTCTTGATAGAGAGGGAGAACAATGTGGAACAAAACTCAAATCATTTGGAGAAAAAAAAAAAAGGTGGGGACTAGGTTTGCTGGTCCGATAGAGCCTGGTGGAACCACTGAGACTATGGCCCCTAGCTGCTCTTCAGGTCTGGAATTGAACCCACAGCTGTGGTTTTCAGCCAAACAAAACACAGGCATATGAGTTGAACATTTACCTCAGGTAGATACACTGCTTGGAGAAAACAATCATGGGAGAAAGTAAGGCTGCTTATGCACAGTGAGACAGCTCAGGGGGCAGGAGTGTATGGAGAGACAGACACTGGGAAGAGGTAACTATGGGAGGAAGTGGGAAGGTTGCTGTTGCATTGTGGTAAACTGTGGTCAATTACATGAGACAAAGTATATGTGAACTGCTGTATGGAAAGTGAATTTGCTCTGTAAATCTTCACCCAAATAACATTTTTTAAGAAAAAAGAGAAACTGTTTGACAGTATGCTAAGAAATCAAGTATTATATAAAGATTTTACTCTTGTTTCATTACAGCCAGAGATGTAGTATATCTTCTCAGAATTCCTCATCAAGTATCTCGGAACAAAGGCCTGGTAATCAACTTCTGAACAATCAGCCAATGACAATCCTGTGGAACACAGTCCTGCTCTGACACACATGGGGTCGCTGTGAGTAGGCATTAACTTGATGGCAAAGTGCTCGCTTTTTAAAAAACATAATACTTAATTATATAAATAATACTCTCTTATTTTAACAATTTCTTGTGCATAAATGTTGTCCCTTTGAGTATATCATTATAAGTCCAGGAAAAAAGCACTCTGTTAGGCTTCTCTGGTCTCCCCAGCACAACTAGCACAGAGCTGGACACATAGAAGGTGCTCAATAAAGCTCCAATAATCTAATCAGTAGGGTGTATTTAACCAAATTTTAAGCATTCTAGGTTTTGACTATTGATTTCTGATTTTTATGTTTACTGAAGAGGGAAAGTAAGTCATAACTAACAATTATTTTTAAAATTACACCATTTTAAAGAAACAGTATTTCAATAAAGAATAACTCTTTTATACAATTAGAAGTATTTTAAACAATTTGATTGAGAAGAGTTCAATTTATAGTAAGTTAACAGAAAGTTATTCTTTATAAAATAAGTCATTGCCTCCCAAAATCTATGTTCATTAGCAACAGATTGTTAAACGCATTTATTTATAATACAGCAAATAACAAAACATATTATCAGGATAATAGAGATAAGACAATGCTTGTTTTTCTAAGCATCATTTAACAATTGGAGGGAAATGTTCATAGACATATACTAAAGAAAAATATCTCTGTCTCTTAAAATCAAAATTCTCTCTCTATTATCAGGGGTTAAAATATAGAAGATACTTACAGCCCCTTCTTGATCAACATCAGCTCCCATGGCCAATAAATGTTTTACACATTCCAGATGACCCTTTCGTGCAGCCCAAACCAAAGGAGTGGTCCCATACTATTAAAACAAATGATAAATTTAAATGCAGAGATGTACTTAAAGAAACAAGGTCTCAACATGAATTTTAATAAAACTACTTTGATAATTTTTAGATAATTGTTTATACCAATTATGATTTTTATGTTAAATAAATTGAATTTCCCCATTTTGTTTGTGAATAAACCACTGCATGAAATATCTTTTAATCAACTTTATATAGCTTTATATGTGACAATTTTTTCCATCATAAAGTCATACAACTCCTAATTTTCAATAAGCTTTCATTACTATCCATATCCTATAAAACAAAATTAAAGTCCAACAATCTGACTGCACATATATATAAAATAATACTAATCAAGTGCCAACATAGCTCTAAGCCCTTTGCATGGGTTAACTCATTTAATCCTTATCACAATTATTATTGTATTTTCACTGATAAAGAAAGTCAGGTATTGAGAGGTTAAGTAAGAGGTTCAAAATCATAAAGATACTAATAAGTGGATTGAAACCCATGAATCCAGCAAGGTTAGCTTCAGAGTCTCTGCTCTTAACAACCATACCAATCAGCCTCCCTACTTGAGAGCATAAAGTAAACTTCAACCTGGAAACTGTATTCGAAAGTACCTTTTGCTGAAACAATGAGTTCAAAAGGCTTTAAAGAATATAAAAGCAACACTGCATCATCTTTGAGAAGTCTGACCTTCAAACATACGACTTTTAACTACATGAGAGATCTCAAGTTGAAATAGGCATTTAATGAATGCCTGATTGCTGTAACATCCCTGTTCAAAGAACTTTCTGTGTTGATGGAAAAGCCCTATATCTGCCTTGTCCAATACAGTAGCCATTAGTGACATACGATAATTAAGCACTTGAAATTTTGGCTAGTGTGACTGAAGAATTGAGTTTTTTCTTCTATTAAATTTAATTAATTTTAATCTAAATAGCCGTATGTGGCTAGTGGCTTGCGATCTAGTAAATTACATAGTGTGGCTTTTCTAGCCATAAGTCTTTGTAAACTTTGTGGTGGAATTTGAAACTGAGTAGCTCCTGATTGCTAAAGTTATCCACCTGGGGTATTTCTGTTCCGAGTGGCAGAAAGCAATCTTCTGGAAAGTTCTCTCTCTCAGGTGTATAAAATTCTGATGTTGGGATTGGTTGGTCGGGCCACTCTGCCAGGCTCAAAAGGAGCCCTCCTAGAGGCAGAAGGAATCTCTCAGTGGTGGGTGAGAGATATGAGAGACAGTCATTGCTGAGAGAGAGGCACAAGAGACATGTACTGCTGAGAGAGAGACAGAGATATGCACTGCTGAGAGAGACTGTCAGCTGACAGACAGTAGGCTGCGAGAGAGACTGAGGGCATTTCTGAACTTGAGCTGTTGCCTGTTTCTTCCCTAATAAACATCGTAATCTGTGAGTTCTGTGTGGCCACTGCAGCAAATTATCAAACCCAGCAGAGAGATGGTGGGTGCTGCGGGAGGAACAGTTGGTGAGAGAGCTGAAGGGAGGAAACATGTCTGGCCTCATAGGAACAGGCCTTGGGCTGCTGATGGGTCACCTCTTGTGGTGTCAGAGGTCAGAAGATGCAGCCTCCTTGCCCCTTTGGCATGGCAATTGTACTATTAACATAGCGCTATAAATTACGTCAGACATCCCACCAACCACTGTTGAAATTTGTAGCCGTGCAAGGTTGTGGTGGCGTCTTGGCCACAGCCAGCTATCCAGAGGGAATGAGTAGTTGGTTCTATGGACTTAGGACCACGGTTGCAGGGACATCAAGCTCAACCGGCATGACATACTACACAAAAATATTGTTCTACATCCTACTTTGGTGAGTAGCAGATGGGATCTTAAAAGCTTACAAGTGGCCATCTAGATGCAACAATTGATCTCTCCTTGTCCGGAGCAAAGAAGAATGGAAAAAACTAAAGACGCATGGTAACAATTACTCCAAAGGACTGGTAGACCATTCAATCCTTAGCCTATATGACCATGAGACCAGAAGAACTAGATGGTACCCAGCTACCACTGTCAACCACTCAGAAGGGGATAAGTACAGGAGATCCTGGATAGAGTAGGAGAACAATGTGGAACAAAACTCAAAATCATACAAAAAAAAAAAAAGACTAAGTTTGCTGGTCTGATACAGCCTGGTAAGACCCCTGAGACTATGGCCCCCAGCCACTGTTCAGGTCTAGAATTGAACTCACTACTGTGGCTTCCAGCCAAACAAAAGGCACGCATATGGGGTGAACATTTACATCAGGTAGATACACAACTTGGAGCGATCAATAACGGGAGAACAAAAGGGCAGTGTCTGCAGCACAGACAGCTCGGGGATGGGAGTGCATGGGAGGGAAGGACACAGAAAAGAGGTAACTATGGGGAGGAAGTGGGAAGAAAGCTGTTACATTGTGGGGGAATTGCAGTCAATGTCGTGAGACAAAATGTGTATGAACTGCTGTATGGAATATGAATTTGCTCTGTAAACTTTTATCCAAATCACAATAAAAATTAAAAAAAAGAAAGAAAGAAATTTGTAGCCCTGGGTGCTCTTCCTTGATACATGGAACCTCATGATAGCCAAAATCACAAGCCTGCCAATACAGCAGCACAGGGGAGCAAGAGACTAACAAAAAGAATATAACAAGAGGAAGGTAGTGGTCATGACCATTACCTCAAAGCAGGCTTAAAGGAACTTCCCAATTTTGTTCCTGCATCCTTATTCTTCTCTCAGAATTTAATTCTGTTTTCTAGTCTCCTACTTTGTAGATAAAAATTTTCTCTGACTCAAATGCCTCCCTAATTCCACCAATCAAAATCTTAGACATTCTCAAAGATATCACACATAGGGATTCATCATTCATGAAGCCTTCTTTATATATGCCAATCATAACTGAGCTCTCTCCCTCTGAGCATTTATTACAGTTGAATTTTACTCTTCTTATAAAATTGGATCATACAATATTTTATAATTTCTCCTCTTTCCACAGCCCCACAACATCAGCTAGCACTTGTTATTATTGTCAGGTACTATCAAGATGGCTCTGATTTATAGCAACCTTATGTATATCAGAATGAAAGGTTTTCCATCATAACCATTGGTATCTTGGAGTCCATTGTGTTGGCTATAGTGTTAATCCATCTCGTGGCAGGGTTTCCCTTGTTTTTGCTGACCCTACTCTATCAACCATGATGTCCTTTTCTAGCAACTGATCTTTCATGATGATGTATCCAAAGTAAGCAAGCTAAAGTCTTGCCATCCTCTCTTCTAAGTAGCATTCTGGTTGTATTTGTAAGACTGATTTGTTCATTCTTCTAGCAGTCTGTGGTATATTCCATATTCTTTACCAACACCACAGTTCAAATCCATCAATTTGTCTTCAGTCTTTTTTTTTCATTGTCCAGCTTTCCCATGAATATAAAGCAACTGAAAAGATCATGGTGCGCCCTTGTTTTTTAAATCTTTAAAAAGTTCTTTTGTAGCAAATGTGCCCAATGCAGAATATCATTTGATTCCTTTATTACTGCTTCCATGGATGCTGATTGTTGATCTAAGTAGAATGAAACCACTGACAACTTCAATTTCTTCTTCATTTACCATGATGTTGTTTACTGGTCTAGTTGTGAAGATTTTTGTTTTCTTCATGTTCAAACGAAGATTGTACTACTGTAGGCTGTAGTCTGGGACCTTCATCAGTAAGTGTTTCAAGTCATCTCCATTTCTGGCAAAGTTTTATCATATGCAGGCAACAGGTTGTTGACGACTTCCTCCAATCCTGATGTTGTATTCTTCATATAATCCAGCTTCTCGAATTATCTGTTCAGCATATATATTGAATAAGTAAGGTGAAAAGACATACTTTTTCCAGTTCTGAACCATACAGTATCCCCCTTTTCTATTTGAGAGACTGTCTCTTGATCCACGTATGTGTATAGGTGATGCATGAGCAAATTAAATGTTTTGGAATTCACATCCTTTATAATGTTACCCCTAATTTTTTATGATCCATAACAGTCAAATGCCTTCATATAGATGATAAAACACAGGTAATTATCTTTCTGGTATTCTACACTTTCAGACAAGATCCATCTGACATTAGAAAGATATTTCTTGTTTTATGCCTTCTTCTGAATCCAAATTGAACTTCTGGCAGTTTTCTCTTAATGTATGGCTGCAGTCATTTTTTAATTATTCTCAGCAAAATTTTGTTATCATGTGATATTAATGATATTGTTTCATATCCTTTCTTTGCAGTAGGCACAAATATGGATCTCTTCCAGTCAGTTGGCCAGGTGACTATCTTCTACTTTTTTTTTTTTTTTTTTTAATTTTGTGTTGTGATCTGGGTGAAAGTTCACAGAGCATATTGCTTTTCTATTGAACAATTCATATCCATTTCATTTTCTGACACTGCATTTAACACAATGTAACAGCACTCTTCCCACTTCCTCCCTGTGTTTACCATTTCTATTTATCCTTCTCTCCTATCCCTTCCTGCTTCTTGAGCTTTATCCCTGGGCAACTGCTGCCCTTTTGATCTCATATAGTTGGTTGTTCTTATCAGTGCATACCTCTTTGGTGTTACTGGTCATGTAGATGCCTATCATTTGGCTGAAAGTTGAAGTACAGAGGTGAGTTCAGACTTGAAGTGTTTCTGAAGACCACAGTCTTGAGGGTTTCAACAGTCACTATCAGACCAAAAAGCTTGGTCTTTTTTATGATTCTGAGTTTTGTTCCACATTTTTCTCCCACTCTGCCCAGGGCTTCCTACTGTGATTCCTTTCAGAGTGGTCAGCAGAGGTAGCTGGTCACTATTTAGTTCTGGTCTCAGGGTCATGGAGGCTGGGGTCCATGTAGTCCATTAGTCCTTTGAATTGTTTCCTTCCATCTTTGATTTTCTTCACTATTCTTTGCTCTGGATGGCTAGAGACCAACAGTTGCACCTTTAAATGGCCACTCATCTCTCAAATTTCTTGACATAGATGAGTAAGCGCTTCCAAAGTTACATGTT